CCGGCCTAACAGGTAACGGTCCCCCCACCCCCACCCCCTCCCCTGTTCTCCTTCCAGCCTTCAGGGTGTGCCGGTGGCTTACGACAACATCAAAGTGGTGGGGGAGCTCGGGGACATTTACGACGACCAAGGATTCATCCACCTGAATATCGAGGCGGACTTCATCATCTTCAGCCCCAAGAAAGGGAAAAAACTGGTGGTATGTGAACGCGTTGACGTCTCACTGGGCATTTTTTTTATTAAGTAGTCATAGCGTGGCTTATCTCCATCATCAGTGGAGGTTTGGGACTTAGGGGGAGTTACATTTTAGTTTGTATTAGTAGTTTACTGGTGTATGAGTTGATGACAGTAGTTCATCAGCCATTTGTAGCAGTAGTTTCTATTTTCATCAATCTCTACTGTCTGTTCCTATATTTATTAAATTTATATATAATATTTATTGTAAAAACATTGTATCATAAGGATTACATATTACTAAATACAATATCATAATTTTGTATATAATTTATATCTATGCTTCTTTCTGAAGAGCAGATAATTCTGCAACAGGTGTGTTCATCCTTACTTAATAGTGGCAGGAATGTTTAGGGTGTTTTCATGAGTTTATTTCCTTCAAGTACAAGAGCAATACAACAGGTTGAAGCATGCCTTTCAGTAAAAGGAACTGTATGGCTTGCAGGAGGCCATACGTTTTGCAGTATAGCTAGTGTCTTTCTAAATGTGATTAGGAAATGAATGGGTCCTCATGCCAGCATGAAGGCTGTTTTAGGCAAGTAAATCAGACTTAAAGTGGCTTTAAAGCAAAGTTGATGGCTTTAGTGTGAGGAGAGCATTACCTGTTCAGGTACTCGCTTTTTTTGCTCTTTCAGGAGGAATTGTATGAAGACTCTATAGGAGTCGTTTTGTTTTTAGTGAAGAGGAGTTAGCTTATTTGCTAGATAAACTGACTTTGTAACTTGTTCATATAAAGTCAAAAAGTTTCCATATAGGAAATCAAATATATATAATGTGTGCGTGTAAAGGGATGATCTTTACTATACCTTCATATGATATTCTTTTTCTTTTTTAGGGTGTAATTAATAAAGTAGCCCCTAGTCATATTGGCTGCCTGATACATGGATGCTTCAATGCTTCTATCCCTAAACCTGAACAGATGTCAGTTGTACAGTGGCAAGGGCTGGGGTTAAAAATAGGGGATGAACTGAAATTTCAGGTATTGCACTTGGATTCTGATGCAGCTGGAGTGTTCTTCATTCGAGGAGGACTCACTAAAAGCAGGTATTGTGCCATACTAAGAGAATATTTTAAACTGTTTTAATGGGTTTGTTACAACCTAAATGATTTGAATTAACATCTTAATCTTTAAGCTTTCTCGCTTATACACAAACCCATGTCTATATGTACCCTGTGTTAGTTACACTAAACTTTCTAGTGTTAAGGACTTGCATGGCAGTTTTCTCTCGAAAAATAAAAAGATTTTTTTTTTTTGCTTGAAAAATCTAAGTGTGCTGACCTGTGAACCGTTGATTGTTTAAATAGTACATGTTCAAAATAACACCCCGAATGTCTAGAGTAGCTGTGTTTATGAATGTGCATAGGCTTTTTAAGTGAAAACACTCAATTCCTGAACACAATGTTTACACTTGTATTTGCGCACACACGTATTCTATAACCACAAATAGTTATATGTGAATGACTTAAATGCTTGCTGAAGCATAGGAATATACTTAATCTCAAAGATGATACGAGAAAATATGTCACCTTCCTTGCACATGCGCCTCTGCAAATTTTCAGAGCAGGTCGCTAAAAATCTTAATTGTGATATCTTTAAAAGAATTCATTCAGATTTTTTTTTTAAAATGGTCATTTGCTGAGCAATTTTTTTCCACCAATGTGGTTATGTTTTTAATTAAATGTACAATATGACTATTACTGACAAAACTCATAACAATTTTTGTTTGTTTGTTTTTTTATCTGGAAGGATGCTCTGGATTGTTTCAGTGAACTTACAGTGAAACTTGGCAATTTTGTACTCAGTGCCTCAGGGGACATCTCCCTCTGTGATTTTTAACTGCATTTTTTCCATATTTGTCTTCATAAACATTTTCTCCAGTGCTCTCAGTTGCAGGTACCTGCTGGGTTTTTGGATTTTGTTTGTTTTTTTTTTTTTTTCTTCTTTTTTTTAACTCTTTTGGCATCACTTTTGTTTTAACTGTGTAGACTTCAGCAAGGCAGTTGCTTGGTAAAACCAGCAGTGTGTCTCATATATGACTGAACAGGCTGTTGGCTGTGCAGGCTTGTGAATAACTTAAAAAAAAGATTTACTACACAATGTGTAATTATGAATTAGTGGATGAAGGAATACAAGAAAAGAGGAAATATCAAAGTGGTGGGTACAGCATTTTAGAGAATAAATTTAGGCTAAGATTTGAAAGAGAATATTGATTCTGTGGTAAGAAGGAAGCTAGTCAGGTAATAGAAATTATGCTGAAAGTATTAACCTGGCTTTATGTTTTCTGTAACTAGAGTATCATGTTCTCTAGTTGTTGGGTTTTTTTAGCAAATGCTTATCTTTTATCTACTTTGTATAAATACTGTGTTTTAGCCAGTTCTGACATTTCACTGTGTGAGGTGCAGTTAGATGTCCTACTTCAGCTTATTTTGTGTATTTCTTTATAGCATGCAGCCCAAACAATCTGAGACTGTCACTGACGGTACAAATGGAGATGAAATTCAAAAGCTTGACCACCAGGAAAATGGCTTCAATGACTCTGGGGGAGATAATATCACAGAGGAACCTCTATGTGAGACAGATAACACTGGGAGAGAAAATGCGGACGAGCAAAGTGCTGATGCTGTGAATGGAGTATGTGATGATAAAAACAAGAAGAAGAAGAAAAAGAAAAAACATAAGCAAGAAGAACAGGAGCATGTATTGCCTACCAGTGACTCCAGTGGTTACCAAAGTGACCATAAAAAGTCAAAGAAAAAGAAAAGAAAGCATTGTGATGAAGTTGAAGAAAATGAATTATCTCAGCTGTCACAGGAACCCAAAGCTAAAAAGAAAAGGGACTAAAGTCTGAAGTGCCTTTCCTGAATAAGATTTCAGACGTTTTTGATAAGCTTCCAATAAAATCCCATTCTCAAAACGTGTATGTATATTTCTTTACTAAACAGTCTGCTCTGCTAGGTGGGATGATGTTTGTGTGCATATGTGCACCACCAGCCTTAAAGGCAGGAGCTTTTAAAGAATTTATAGAAGAAACAGGATAGAAGCAATACCTTCCTGTTTTATTTACTGGAGAATAAGGCACAGAACAGTGGAATGTAATTAGAGGAACACATGCATTGCCTCTGTGTCTGCTTCCCAGCTCCATGCATTCGCCAGTAGCCACTTACAATCTTTGCTACTCTAATTCCATCTTTGCTGCTCAGTGACTTGAATTTATAAGGGAAGATTAAGCTTACCTTTGGGGTTCTGGGAAATACACCTGAATTCCCAGGGCTGAGAAGAGTTTTGGTTTTTGTTTTTTCTTTATTGTAGTAAGAGGCCATGAATGCCTATGAACGAAACTCTGCAGCCTGACTTAACCTTTAAGCAAAGACTTGAGTGTCTTGGATCTTTCAAAACACCTTTCATGGTACTCTGGGAAAAACAGTATGATCAGTTGATTCAGAACAAGCAGGGAAGGTGGGAGAAGATTAATGTACCTTTCATGGTACTCTAGGAAAAACAGTATGATCAGCTGATTCAGAACAAGCAGGGAAGGTGGGAGAAGATTAATGTAATCTAGTATAATGAAGTTCCACTTACAGGTGAGATACAGGCCGATAAGGCAGTTGGTAATGGGACATACTTTGATACAAAGTTCATTTTTATGCATCGAGCTCATTGACTTCATGGTTTTCTTTAAAAAAAAAAAAAAAAAAAAAGCTGAAGCGCAACTCCCAGCTTTTCATGCTAGTTGTAACTTTCAAACACTGTTCTCTGGAATAGCAGGTACCTCAGCAGGTCAATTATTTTCCAAACTGTTGGAATTAATGTTAGCGGAAAGTTCAGATAATGGGAAAACGACAGTCAAAGGTTAATGAGGTTTCATTAAGAACTAATTTTCCTGGTGTACATGTATGATAATTTTTTGAATATCAGTACTTTTGGTTGTGGCTCTTTTTTATTGTGAGGACTTCTGGGGAGAGCTGTAGTTGGACATGGTCTAGGCTAAGTCTTTAACTGAACTAGGAGGCAGTGATTACTCTGGTATTGATTTACCTATTAAAAGAAAACATAACCAGCTCTTTGGAAGCCTTGTAAGTTAACCGCATGTATGTGGAAACTTGCTGTTCTTCTGTCTGTTCTCAGGTGACAAAACGTTTTGCACCAGTGATTATACTGATGCTATTAGCTCGCTTTACTAGGTTGATGTACGGTGCCTATTAACATACCCATTCACGTTGAACGTGTTCTGAATTTAAAGTGTGACAATACTTGTTTGAGGGCTCACTTTGGGCTATATTAATGTCTTTTATGTATCTTTAAAGCTCCAAACTTACGAAGACAAGTCTAAGTTTCTGTCTTCCAGGCTTGATGGCATGGCAGTACATCATAGTACATCATACATTTTAAAGTTGTTATAACACCATAAAGAAGTTACCAAGAGTTTTCGAAGACCTGTAAGGTGAGCTTAAATAGCTGTTTAAGGGCAGCAGAAACTTCAGTATATCCTCTTTTGCTTGCTTTTCAGCGCACTTGATCTTGAAACCAGTTTCTGGACAGTCCTGAGATGAACGTGAATCATCCCTGTTATGTTCCTACATGTGACAATGCTGGCGCTTGAACTACATGCAATTTCATGGACACTCTTTCATCTGTCCATTCTTACCGTACTAAGTGTTGCAGATACTAACACAAAAAGTCCCACCCTAACGTGCTTAAAATTTAACTGCACAGGACAGGCTGAAGGTTGGGACATAATATACAGTCAGAAATGATCTGTTAGCTTACCCCCCCCCCCCCCCCTTTTTTGTGTGTTTTTTTTAATGGACTGGTGTAGAGGGAAGAAGTTAGATGGGTAGGTATGGAGGATATATCAGAGAGGAGGATGGCAAGTGCAGATCTTTTTTGTTGATGCCTATGGGAAGGGAAGGATGGAGGCAGTTGCTATTGCAGATGAACCAAAGACAGAGAGTCATGTGACTTCATCTGTTAGACCTTAAGAATCATTATAGATCACTTTCCTTTTTAGGGTAGGGAAACACATCTCCAGCAGACCCACTGTTGGTGGCTGTGGCATGAGCCAAGCCCTACCAGTTCATAGAAACAGCTTGTAGCACCAAGAGTTTGTCTTGCTCCATTCCAGCTTTTCATCAGCGTGGAAAGAAGGGGGATGCTCAGGGGAGGAAAGACTGAAGTTGCAACTAATGAATCGAGTGACATAGGTAGTTTAAATGCTTTCAGCACTTCAAATGCTTTTTCCAGTTTTGCTGCTTTACCATTCTCTTACTGAAACAGAAATGCCTACCATAGTTTTAACAAACTATGCAAGCTGGCTTTTTGAGGGTATTAAGCAACTTTTCTGAAAGCCTGATGTAATCTGTCTCAGTTTTTGGGCCTTATTTAAAGGCAGGATTTTTTTGGCACACAAGTGTGGCTGGCACCCTCTTGTATCAGTTTTTGGTTTTCTTTCTTGGCTTACAACAGAGAAGAGCAATTAAAAAATAAATTAAATGCAGGAGCTGTCAATTCATGATTGTTGAACAAGTTGTTGCTCTAATGTTGCAAATACTATAGCATGTTACATTAAATTCTTGCTAGTTTAACATGCAAATAGCAATTGTGGTACACAATAAAATTGTAGATTCCTTTGCCTAACAATTGTACAAAGCAGTTGACTGTCTTCTGCTGGTTTGTGTCTTTGGAAGGGGAAAAGTGAAGAGAAGACTTAAGGAAAAAAAGTGCTTTTCACAGCTGGAGTCAGTATTGGCAGCCTCACAGCTGCCCTGTTGATGTTACTGTAAACACTGTTTCGGCTTTAGCTAAATATGGCAAGAAAACTTGCATTTTCAAAAGTTAATTGTCACTCTATTCATGACTTTACATCACCTCTCATTGGTTATTTCCCCTTAAAAAACCTAAGATTTTCCAGTGCTTGAAATTAATAAAGGAAAGAAGCAAAACCTGACAGTTTCCATGAATGTTTCTCTGAAGTTTGATCGTTACAAACGTTTAGCTTTTTGTGTTCCCTTGGACTATGGAGGAAGAGTTGTATTGAATTCTGAGTTGAGTCGAGATTTTTGAGTATCGAGAACAAACACTTGTAAAACTTCCAGTGCAGCCAGGTGAGTTCCTTTTGTTCAGAGTGCATTCTAGTCCAACTCGCTTCTGTCACATAGCAAAGAGGTTAGAAGGTAAAACTGTATTTTGTTCTCTAACTACATTGATAGCTACACCAAGGTAACTATCATGTGATCTAGAGAAAACATACGCTGTTTTCTTTCCCATTCTAACATTTAGTTGGCAACAAAGCCAGTATTCACTTCTATCTGTGGTCAATAATCTTTTGTCTGTATTATGAAAAATGTAGTTCCAACTTAACCAGCTATAATAAGTTTCTAAAGCAGGGACTGTTTCTTTGTAGTATTATAAATATTTTGATTCTGCAAACATGTTTCTCAGTGTATTGCATGCCTTTGGCAGAAGAGCAAGTGCTCTTAGAAGAAAGTATTTTTAGCTCTCTTTAAAACAATTGTTTTGTACTCTCTGAAGCTTGCAATGATCTGCAGCATTAACTTTTGCTCTTTGTCTTTTCCTTGCTTCTCTTAGAAACAAACTGCGCTTTTGACTTGGCAGTTTGCTGCTGCTTAAAATACGCAGCCCAAACAGCCCAGTGGATGAGCTCTAGGGAAAGGATTTTTAAATGGGCCTAAGCAAGCTAGCTGCCTTTTGGAAAACATGAGCCTTGATCAAATCCGCCTCTGAAGAAACAGTTTGTCTTTGGAAGCATCCCAACCTTTGCTAGCCCTCACACAGTACAGACCTTTGCTGTAAAAAGCAAGGGGGTAGTTACCTACCCAAACTGTTGGAGTTGTACTTTTTTCTATATACCTATGAAGAGCTTATGTGATCTGATGCTCTCAGGATTATTAGAGTTGGCTATGAAAGGACTGAATAGTTTCATTCTAATAAAGCATATATTTTTCTTAGCATAATGTTGATTCTATTCTGCTATTTAGCTTTCAGAAATTCTGTAATTTCAATAAAGCCTGAAGAACTTCAGTATCCAGTAGACTTAGTCTGTTCATATGGTGACTATACTTTGTCTCCTGGATTCATGTGAACAAAAATAAGACTGAAAATCAAGCTTCGCACTTGTCCAACATTGTCAGTAAGTAAGTTTTTTACAGACACAGATCACGATTTTTGTGTCCTTTATGCTGACTTTTCACATAACTAAGTTAGAGCTGGGTTAAATTCAGCTGTGTGTCCTGTAGCAAGCCACCCAATTGACCTGATTTTAAGGAATTAGGAGCAATTGCAGCCTGGCAATGGTTTCAAGTTCCCCTGAAGTCAGCTGTCCCAGGCAAAGAATGGAGGCAGGTAAGGAGGAATGAGCTTTAGTTTTCCCACTCTAAGGACCTCTCCTCTGAGACATTGGTGATCACCTTCCATTTCCCAGACTGGTATGTCTGTAGTATATTATTACTTCTGGAACATTTCTTTTTTGGCCAGAGACAGTTCAACTCAACAAAGAGTTCTTTGAGAAATCTATCTACAGAAACAGCTAAAATGAGCTTTCTGTACAGGAGGTGAGTGAACTGTAGCAGTTCTTAGTACATAGCAAAGAAACCTTAAGAATAGAGGGAAGAATTTTGGGACGAGACTCATTATCAATACCTTCCTCTTCTATGGATTATTTTAGTGTATTTCATATGACTAGAAGGTTGAGCTATGACCATTAGTCTCTGAAGCTATATGATACATATTAAGAATGCAGGTACCAAGATATGACTGACTATTGCACTTCAGAGCTTCCCTACTCTTTATCCCCTGTGCTCCTTCCTCCTTTATGCACCTTTCACTGGTGCCTTTGGTGTATGGGAACTTCTCTAAGAATATTCTTACTACACCTGAAATACCATGCCCCACTCAAGAGCAGGATTTCATTGTGCTGCACAAATTGATTGAGGAGAACCTTGTGTTTAAGAAGCTCTGGTAAGAGCCAGTCTGCCAGTACTGTGTTGCTTAGAAGCTCACACTAAGTATAGTTGATCCACTAGAAATTTGGACACTGAAAGAAGATGATCTGTGTCAAATACCTTGACCTGAGTTGCAATTAAGGTTGCATTCAGAAACAATATTGCAGTTCTATCTGCACAGCCATGATCGGTGGGCGTGAACTCATTGCGAGGCTTACATGCACAGCACACACAACTTCTGCGGAAGACTTGGGACCACAGCAGTTAGTGGAATGCAGACTGTGCAGGTACAGTCCCAGATTTCACTGAAAGCATGTTGTCAAAACTAGTGTGGAGTAACTCCCACTCATTCATGAAGCTGGCTGAAGCCAGAGTTGTCTCATTTTTAAGGAGAATTGGACTGGGCTGCAGTTGGCCTTGATGAAGTCAAATGTTTAGGCTTGTTTGTGTGAAGACTGTCTGTACTTTTATTTTCTCATAACAAAAGTGTGTCCTGGTTTCGTCTGGGATAGAGTTATTTTTTTTCCTTTGGCTGGGATAGAGTTAATTTTCTTCCTAGTAGCTGGCATAGTGTTGTGGTTTGGGTTTAGTACGAGAATAACGTTGGTAACACGCTCATGTTTTAGTTGTTGCTAAGTAGTGCTCAGACTAATCAAGGACTTTTTCAGCTTCCCACGCCCCCTCCCAGCTTCATGTGCCCTGGCACAGCCAGGACAGCTGACCCCAACTGGCCAAAGGGCTATTCCAGACCATAGGACGTCATGCTAAGGGAGAGTTGGCTGGGGAAGAGTGATTGCTGCTTGGGGACGGCCTGGGCATTGGTCAGTGGGTGGTCAGTGATTGCGTTGTGCATCACTTGTTTTGTATATTCTGTATATTTTTATTATTATTAATATTAATATTATTACTATTATTTTCCTCTGCTGTTTTATTAAACTGTCTTCGTCTCAACCCACGGGTTTTACTGTTTTCTTGATTGTCTCCCCCATCCCACTGAGGGTGGTGGGGAGTGAGCAAGTGGCTGTGTGGTGTTCAGCTGCCTGCCGGGTTAAGCCACAACAGTCCTTTCTGGTACCCAACGTGGGGCACAAAGGGTTGGAGATAACGACGGATCTGACCAGAATACGTTAAAACAAATTTGTGATAGCATTCATTTTATTATCTTATTAATTTCTGGTCACAATGTTGACTTACTTGCTCTCAGAGTTGTGCTATGTAACACCTCACTTGCCGTATATACTGTTTATCGGTATTTATGTGCTATCACCTCTGTGAGGTGGATTAAAGTCACCACTTTGCTGTACTGTGTAATACTGGTTTATGGTATGA